AAGAAATAGGGTATTTATTAATTAGGGTATAGAAGTATATTTATTTAATGCGATTTTATGAAAAGGAATTGAAAAGAGGTTAGAAATAAAAAATATTTTTAAAAAAATTTTTTTTATTTCTAAATAAAATAATTCAATTTTAAAGAAAGTTTTGGTTCTTAATTTCTAAATAAAATAATTTAATTTTAAAGAAAGTTTTGGTTTTTTATTTCTAAATAAAATAGTTTAATTTTAAAGAAAGTTTTGGTTTTTTAATTTTAAATAAAATAATTCAATTTAAAAGAAAGTTTTGGATTTAAAATAAAGTTTCTAAAAAAAATAAAAAATATGATGACTTTCTACATAAGAACGCCACAATCCATAATACAAGTGAACCAGGCTAATTTAGGGATTCCATTGGCTGATGCCTGGTTAGTATTTAATACAGCAACAAGGCATGATTACACCCATGCCCTAATTTTCAATAAATGAACGAGGGGCTCCGTATACATTACCTACGACAAACAATTATAACGCAATTATAATGGGAGAAGAAGATGATTTGACTCAGTATTCGATGATGAGAGAACACTCACGAACACCCTTAAGCAATATCCAATATTATCAGTTGCAACAATATTCGAAAACTTTTTATATATTAAAAAATAATGAAAAACAATATCAAAAAAAAAATTAATTATAATTATTTCATAACATCTCACCCTTTCATTTGGGATGAATTATAGGCTTAATAAAAAAATGTTTTGCTTAATTATTTGTGTTTAGTTAACTGTTTCATCTGGGTCTCATAACAGTGGTCACAATAATTTTACTGTTTCCTCAAATTCTCATATCATTAATCGCAACAATTTAATAAAAGAATAAAAAATGCTTTGCGTAATTATTTGTGTTTAGTTAATTGTTCCATCAGGTTCTCATATCCGTAGTTACAGTAATTTTACTGTTTCCTTAAATTCCCATAGCATCAGTCGCAACAATTTGAATGTGAGGAAACAGTAAAATTACTGTATTTACTGATATGAGAACCTGATGGAACAATTAACTAAACACAAATAATTACGCAAACAATTTTTATTCTTTTATTTAAAATTTTCTCATATAAAAATAAAATAATATACAAATTAGAAAACTTTTTATATATTAAAAAAAAATATATATAAAATAATAATCATTTCTTAATAAAAAAAAAATAATTTTTGAAAAACGAAATCAAAAAAAAAATTAATTATAATTATTCATAACATCTCACCCTTTCATTTGGGATGAATTATAGACTTAATTCCTAAATTTTCATCCTCAGGGTTTACCAATAGCATGCTATCTTTTGTATTTCTCTTAATGACGCTTATGCTTCTGACGTTATAAGGTGATCATTTACCACAGATCCTGTAGAAAAAATTGTTCTAGGTTCCCCTGGTACCTGTCTCATTAAGTTGCTCGTACTAGGATTTGAAACAATTCCCTTTGCCGCGAAACTAGGAACTCTCCATACCCCTTTTCTCGGTAACGGTCCATAATTCGCCCGACAGTCTACTATTTTATGCCCCAGTCTACCACATAGAAAACATTGGATATTGCTTAAAGGTGTTCGTGATCGTTCTCTCATCATCGAATACTGAGTCAAATCATCTTCTTCTACCATCATAATTGCGTTATAATTGTTTGTCGTAGGTAATGTGTACGGAGCCCCTCGTTTGTTTATTTATTGAAAAATGAGGCTTGGGTGTAATCATGTTTTGTTGCTGTATTAACCATTTATCTAACCAGGAATCAGCCAATAGACTCCCTAAATTAGCCTGGTTCACTTGTATTATGGTTGTGGCGTGCGTATGTAGGAGGTCATCATTATTTTTAGAAATTTTATTTAAACCCAAAACTTTCTTTAAAATTAAATTATTTGCATACATATACTGAAAATTTTGCCGTGAACTTTCAAACTACTTATAATAACTTATATATTTTTTTCACATATAAATTAAAATATATAAAAATTTATGGCGAAAGTGTCTTAAATTCAGAGTAGGTACTGTATTAAAATTAAAACAAAATACAGCACTGCTTGTTTTATTAAATCTTATGGTTTTAATTTTTTTTTATTTCAGGCGAAGCTTTTCAGAAAAGTTTATAGGGATGATTTATTTAAATTATTAATATGTCTCTGCTAAAGTACTTTATTTTTGATAAATAAACAAAAAAAATAATTACCCGGCTGTGGAAGTTTCTATGTTTAAATAGAAGTGATATATATTCAATTAAAATTAAGACAACAAATGTTGCTCTTAATTAAATTTGCTTCGAATTAACTGCGCCCAATTATCATTCACCCAAATGACAATGCTGAAGTATTTCTAGGCCCAAATGACCGTGACTAATAATCGCAAGCCGATTTATCGTGCGTCAAAATGACATGTAGACGTTTATTTTATTTACTCTTAAAAAAATTTGATTTGAATATTGACCAGACTAAATCCAAGACCAGTATCCTACCGAACATGTCTAAAAGTCTAGAACCATAATATAATATACTGTAAATATTTTTTTGGCCCTTCTATGAAAATTCCCTCAGAATCTATATGCTCGAAGTTGGAATAGGTGATTTCTGTCGGAAATATTAGAATAATAAACACGGGCTCAGTTCAGTATTTGCAATAAAAATCGGTATTCCCGATATATGGATCTCGTTATATCTATAATTTTACACAATTTTTTAAAAATAAAATAGTAAAAATTCCAGACAATAGGATATATATATATATTAACCAGAGATGCACCAATGCCATTTTATTTGCCGATACCTAGATACTGCTGGGAATTGGGCCAATGCCATTGATACTCATATAAAAAAAACATATACAATAATTTAATCAATTTTTTTTAAAATGATCAATATTCATAAAACACTTTATGGATATGTGGATACTTCTGCATATGACATTTGCGATAGATTGTAAAGGTCTCATTGAGCTCCTACGTCATCAGTCCAAAGAGTTTACAGATCCCTTTTATTAATTTTATAGCACCTTCTCCGAAAGCACCAAGGGTATCGGTTACTACTGGGATAAAAATAAATTTCAATGGCTGATAAGAGTAACTTGAACGCTACAGGGAAATTAATGCAGATGTAATCCGCAAAGGTGCAAGCCATTAGAGAAGGGGATAAGTGAGATTTCGTCTGGTCTTTTTATGTAAAAATCTTAACAGATTAAAAATTGGAAAGGAATCGCGACATTAAAAAAATTAAAATATTATTGATAATTTGGTGAGGAGGGTGGCGTCCTTAAAATATCAAAGATTAGTAAAGCATTTCAAACATTTAGATTTGATTACATTTAACTAAATAAAGATCAAACTCTTATTTTTTAACACCTGATTATTCGTAAAAAATGGAAAACATATCAAATATTAAAAGAAAGAAAGAAAGAAATGTATCAATGATGAAATAAATATTATGAATTTGAGATTTTTCTTTCTTTTAGGTTGGATCGTGGTTAGTTTCCTTTTTTAGAAAAGCGATAGTCAGACAGAAAATATATTTTATTTCCTAAAAGCGAAAAGGTGATAATAAAAAAAACATGGAAGCACAAGAAGGTCAACTTTTTTTTAAATTATTTTATTTCTAAAAAATTCAAGATGTTCTAAAAAAACTAACAGTTTTAATATTAAATTATAAAAATATTTAATGCATTTTGCAAGAAAATATAAATTAGTTTAGTAGAAAATTGCATCAATCAAAGTTATTAAACTGACTTGGAGGGTTAAAGAACTTGGAATCGGCAAAAAATAAAAAATATTGACAGATACCGAGATTAGTGAATAAGAACGGTTCGTCCGTCACTAGCCTTTTTATTTTTTGGGATGAACCGTTTTTAGGACAGGAAATTTAAAAACCCGGACGCATCCTAACGAAAATTTTAGGAAGAACGCGTGTTAAAGCATATTTAAATAATAAAAAACATGAACAATATTCGAATATCATTTAAATATATATAAACACAGGCAAATAAAAATATAAGATATAAAACAAATGATATTATGAAATAAATCTTCTCAATCAATTATGATTTACTTGGAAATTAAAACTGTTCTTCATTCAGGAACGTTATTAAACATTGCACAATTTTCGAGATATATTCTAAATTTTTTTGCTTATGTCTAATGCTTTTGTCAAAACTCTTTAACATAACACCTATAAGTTTTGCATAGATAAATAATCAATTGCAATTCCAACTAAAAGGGAAAAGCAGCAAATTTATAATAAGATATAGTTAATTGGATATAGATTATAGGGCAAATAAACTTATAGCTGGTCAATACAAAATAATTAATAAAATTTATTTGATAATATTGAATTACCAGGTTTCAAATCCTCGTATAGAGCTTTAAAAGCTAGAAAAAAATTCTTTTCTTTTTAGTAAATCTAACATATATAACTATTATAAATAGTGAGAACTTATGATGCTTTTTATATTTAGAAATTTATTAAATTAAGAAAAACAATATACACTTCCTTAAATTAAAAAATATTTGCCATTTACTAGATAAGGATTTTTTTGAAAAATTAAAACCACAATTTTTGCATATGGTCAATTTGTTCTTCTTAGTAAAATATCCATTATAATCGAATTAACTATTTTCTTCTAATTTTTAATCTGTATTTTCACGTTCATCTTCATTCTGCATAATCAATAATATTCTCCTCTTCTATGTCTATTAAAAATTTAAAAATCATTAAGGAAATCACAATAACACTATCTAATGAATGCCTAATAATTATAATTAAAAAATCCGTCTTTTGGTCTTAAGATGGATACGTCCTTGGGATGCATTATAAAACAGAGGACCGATTTTTAGGATGGACGACCAATCTTTTCCAATTCACCAACTAACCAAAATAGTAAAGATTTGAGCCTATACCAACACTCATATTGGTGCATCTCAATAATAAACCAATATTATTGATCCAATAGCTATGTTTTATTTAACATATATTTAATAAATACCTGAACTTTTAATTTGAAATGAGATGCCAAGTCTTCCAATATAACAATTTTGTTTTCTTTGCAATAATTAATAAAGTCTTGCAGCAAGTTCACATTCTATGAAATTAAAAAGAAGGTTAAACTATACTTTTTATAAAAAAATTTCAATGAATGTTATCAAAAATTTACACAATATTTTTATTTTGTTAGATTACATACAATGAGGCTAAAATAATTATTTTTTTAAAACGTCAAACTTAAAAAATATCATCTAAAATCTCATTATGAAAATTGATTATCTAATCTAATATGGAATTTAAAAATCATTTTTAAAACTTTTAAACATTACATTGCTTGATATAACTAAACTAAATATAGTCTAAGGGCATGGGCTAGGGTTAGCCTATTTTTATATTGTATGGAAGTGTTCTTAAAATTTCAAAAATAATATAAATATATACATAGAATGAATTATTTCTTATTCAATTGATATTTTTTGATTAATGGTATAATAATAAAAATATTTTTTGAATAATAGTTTTCCATTATCTAAAATTATTAAGATTGACACATTCCTTGTATAACTTTTTAAGTTTTTAAATTTATTTGCACATTTGTTAATAATTTTTTTAAAAAATTCAATAAATATTAATTAATTTATTTAAGAAAATATGATTTTAAAGAATCTAATAATTGATTCAAAAATATATTAGCCAAAATGGATAATGATTTCTTATTTAAAGAAGCCTGGTCCAAAGCTGGCCAAAAATATAATGATTTTAAAAATCCAAGCCTGTTTAAAAAATTTTTAAAATTATTAACAGGTTGGGCTGGGTTTAAAAATCTGGGCTAGGCAAAAAATAATTTTCAGTTGGAAAACCATATAATAGAGTGTTTAATATTCATTTACTGCTTGTATTTTCAATTTCCCTTTGATATAAATTGCAAAATTATTTGAAATATAATTTTAAGAATTCCAGATTCCAAGCCAAAAAATTATCAAAAATATACAAAAATTAAATACCCAATATTGCAATTATTTAAGTAAATTCCTATTTTAGTATGCCTCTTTGGCCATTTATGTGTTTCTGCTAATTTTCAAAATTTTTAATAAAACTATATAGTAATTCTATGTTATATTTAGAAATAGTATATTATGATTTATAAAATAATACATTTGTATTATATTATACTTTATCAAAATCCAAGGTTTCATCACAACCTTCTTCTTGTATTTCAAATTCTTTTTTCCAATTTTGATATTCAATTTCTTCCTTTCTTTTAATCTCCTCCAAATTTCTTTTTTCTTCTAATTCCTGTCAATAAAAATATAAAGCAGTTAAGTTAATGTTAGCCTACAATTTGTTTTTCAAGTTGCTTGTTTTTTTCTTCTTCAGCTAATCGTTTTTGCTCCGATATTGCCTCCCGTTTTTTCTTTTCTTCCCTTTCAGAAATTTCTTGCTAATTATATTAAAAAATATACATTTATAAATATGAAGAATATAAATTTGACTAAAATATACAATACAAAAATTATTCATTATATCTATGCATAAATAAAATAATCAGCAAAATTTGTCAATTTAAAATTAACTACAATTTACATCAAATAATAATGTTTATGCAAACCTCTCTTTGAGCTTTTTTTTCAGCTTTAAGTTCTAATTTTTTCATTTTTTTAGTCCCTATTTTTTTATTTGGAGCCATGATATCTTCATTTTCGGATATATCGGTGTCATTTTCGGTATTTTCTTGGCATGTGTTCAGGTTACTTCTAGATGCCACTATATAAGTAATAATAACATTTTATTAAAAATAAATACTCTCAAAATTCTCGATTCTTGAAAGTCCTGTTCTCAAACGTTGCAAGCCCCTACCTCTGGTTCTATTACGAACTAATGTATGAATTTGATCAATTTCTTCAACATCATTGTTAACTGATAAAATTTTATTTGCTATGTAATAAAATATAGAATAAGTTACAGAATTTATATTACATTTAAAACTGTTCAATACAAATTTTATTAATATTATCGCCAATATAACCACAGATAAACTGATAAGTATCAAAATATTATAAACTGAGGAATCAATCCCGATTTCTTTCTTCATGTTTTTGAAATGTAAGAAATTTAAATACTTGGACAATTGATACTAGCATCTTTCACATGACCTGACGCTGTCAGAACTAAATACTGACATGAAGGGAACATAATTTCCGTCAAAAGGAAAGGATAAAGATTGCATGCTGTCACAGTATCATCTATTTTTGAATAAAGATCTGACTTAAATCACAAAAAACTACTCTACTTTAAAAACATAATCTACTGATAAAAAATTTGTGAAACTTATTTCTAAGAATTAATAATTTTAATTGTGAAATAGTTAGAGACCGTAAGTCGGGGAGGGGGAAGAATCATCTGAGTTCGATGGTCCGGGATTTTCGGAGAGGGTGACTGGGAGACCAGATTTTGTGGGCATGGTTATAGTACTAAAGACTACAAATAAAGAAAAGGGTAAATATCATCGGTACTTCAATATAAGGCGACCACAGTCCCTTAGTGGATCGTTCCATGACCGTGACGGCAACATCCGCACCACTGGATAGGGCGGATTTAAGTCCACAATTAATTAAATAAGGAAATATCGAACGGCATTCGCCGCTCCGCTGGATTAGGGCGGATTGTCCTAAATTAATTTGATAAATAAAGAATGGCATTCGCCGCACATCTGGATAAGGGCGAATTTAAGTCCTACGTTAATTTGATAAATAAAGAACGGCATACCCTGCACTGCTGGATCAGGGCAGATTTCAAATTTTAGTTAAATAAAATATAAGGAATGGCATTCGCCGCGCTGCAAGATTTAAGCGGTTTAAGTCCTAAATTAATTTGATAAATAAAAGTAACGGCATACGTTGAATTAGGACGGATTTAAAACTTTGGTTAAATAAAAGAGAGAAAAAAGGAACGGCATTCGCCTCACTCAGGATTGAGAGTGGATTTAAAATCTGCCTAATCAATGGTCGCCACGGTCGATCGTATATCGGGTAAGTAAAAACTAGTCTTAAATGATTTAGTGAATTTATTAAAATAAATTTTTTTTTGTCGTAGTTTATATAAAAGAATTAATTCATGATCATGATTACATAATTTTCACCTATATATATATACCAAAGAACTATTGTCTTGAAAAGAAATAACAATTCACAATAAAGAACTATTATAAAAGATTTTACACATATTGGTCATCCTTAAATTTGGCTTGAACCAGTTTTAAATGGCTTTTGGTCGAGAGAAAAATAAAAATATCATAACAAGGGTCATAGACGTAGCCAAGGGGGCAAGGCAAACGGAAATTTCCCCCCCCCCTTTCAGAAATTTATCACTTTTGTGAATATCATTTTAAGCTAATAAAAAATATCCCCCTTAGTTCTCCCACCACTCCCTGACCCCTAAAAATGTATGCATATATCCAGAGTTGGGCAGTACCGCGAATACTTGTATCTAAGATATAAGATACAAGATCCTTTTGTATCTTGTACTCAGTATCTTTTTGACATTTCTAATAAGATACTTGTATCTGTATCTAAGATCCTTTATTCTGAAAAGAATCTTGTATCTTTTTCATTTTCTTGACTAAAGATACAGATACAGATTCTTTTTAATATTCATGTTTAAAATTTTACATATCACAGTATATATTTTATTTTCTTCGAAAATCTTGTATTAATTTCCATATTTTTTTCTGCCATATTTTAATATATTGACAGTTACATTTTTCTGTAAAATTAACAACTCATATTAAGGTAGAAAGATAAAAAATAACACCAAAACGAAATAAGTATAGATTATATTTTATATATAAATGTACCTCGATAGAATATCATTACCAATTTTATGCAATTTTGTAGGATGATTACCACTCATGGTGTGAAATTTATTTATAGAAATAAGTTCCCCTGAATTATATCCCAATCTTGAAATTTGGAAATTTTTTTAAAATAAAAGTTAAAAAAGACAATTTACAGGCTAGATGTAAAACCTGTATAAACAAAAAAATGATAAATTAAACACAATTTTGTTAAACATAATAAAGTATATTATTTATGTGTAGTTAAAAGGGGGCATAGGTTATCTTAAAAATTCAAGTTTACAATATTGTCTACCTTTATTAAAAGCTGCCTAGATGGTATGGGCAAAAGATTTTAAGAAAATATTTTCCTATGATTCGAATATAATGTGGCTTTTTTGATATCAAAATCACATCCATATTTTAAGAACTTATCGATTGAGTCGGATTATAAAAAAGATAATTTCAAAATTTCTTAATAAAAGAAGCCCTGAATGTAGTATCAGAGTATATAATCAAGATCAAACGATGATTATTTTTCTTTTAGTGAAACAAATGATGCTGAGTTCAATGATACAAATAATATTGAGCTGGAGGTTTTAAATTATATTAAGTCGAGAATATATTATAAATGCTTAATTATTATCCTTCCATTAAGGAAAATTTTTTATACATGTAATACTGTAATACCTTCAATAGCATTAGGGTTATTTAGTGTCGGTACAATGTTAAGTATGCCGAAACGGCAAAGGTCTGATGATAAATTATTTGAAAAATTTGATTGTCTTATAATGAATGTATTTTAAATACTCTGCAAATTAATATTTCAACTCCAATTGGTAAAATGTCTGATTATTATAATTAACTCGTCATTAAATTTTATAAATTATTGTGTTATATGTTTATGTTATGTTCTTCACAAATAGGCTATTCTAATTTAATTGGTAATGATAATTTAAAAGTATCTTGTATTTAAGATACTCTAATTAAGTAAAAGATACAAAAATCTTTTATCTTGTATCTTTTTGATATTTTAAAAAAAATACTAGTATCTGTATCTAAGATTCATTTTTTCACAAAGAATCTGTATATGTATCTAGATTTCTTTTCAAGAGGACCTGCCCAACTCTGCATATATCTTAAACAATAATTTGAAAGAAATAATGTAAAAGTTGATATTTTTTTATAAAAAAATTTATCATAATTTATACATTTTTTAAAAAAAGCATTTATATATAAAAAAAGTGAACCAAAAATGTTTTTAAGAAATGGAATATAAGCCAAAAATAAGCCTTAATACAAAAGTGAAATGAATTATAATTATTAATAATAGATCCATAATATTACTAAATAATATATATCAAATATAATTTTTTATAAAGTGAGTAATTTTAATTTATTTCTCATGATAAAATTAAAATATAATTATTAAACTTATGATAAAATTAAATCATAAATTAAATAAAAAAATTAAAGCACAATACAAACAGTGGAATATTATATGTCGTAGATTTACAGTATATCTAATTTTATCGATTATCATATGACAATCAAGTAATTTTTACCATAGCGAATTATATATTTTACAGAAAACTATAAAATATTGATGACATCAGAAAATATATATTAAAGACATTGTAAGATAAATAATATAAAGATTAATTTTTAATATCATTTTATTTAAAAATTAATAGATGGCGTTAAATATTTGAATGCGAATTGTTGTTATATTTATCATCAAGAGTATTGATTAGTAAAATTTGTTAAAATATTAACTGTAATATATTCTCTAACTGTCAAATAGTAAAAGTAGAATTTTACCAAGTATTTTGTAACTAATTCTATATAATAGAGGAATATCAACTATATGTCTACTTTTTATAAATAAATTTCTTATATTTGTTTGGAATAAATTATTACTATGCTTTTGTATTAATGTATATACAAGTAATTTATTATATTTTATATAAACAAAATATATTTCATATTTGTTCCAGATTATTTTTTTTATTAAAATTAACCTCCTATCCTGTAAAAATATTTTATGACTATATATAGATTAAGGTAACCCGGCCGAAGGCCCGCCCAAGATGAGGTCTGGGGACGAAACCCCCAGTAATTTTTTAATCCCCCCTCCCATAGGAAAATCCTGGCTACGCCTATGACATGGGTTTATAAAATTTTAATGTCGTGTAAAAAAAAGAGAATGTAAAGCAAAATGATATACAAAATTAAAAGTGATAATTAATGATAAAAACAATGTTGGGGAGATTTCGAAAGAAAAACTGTTTATATTCCTTTTTCTTTAAACACATCTAAATGTAAAGCGGTTCTGCCTTATTTTTCTCACAACGATTTAAGAGCTCCTGACTCTGATGAAGTGCTAAGAACAAATTGACAAGCACCCTGAAAATATAAATATTGATCAGGTTTTATCCACAAACTTCGGTGGTATTTATCATGGTAAAATTTTCAGAAGCAACATACTCTTTTCCGATAGACATCTCTAAAGGGTTATATGGCATCTGACGAGGCGTGTAGTTAGGAATTTTCTACGGGGGGGGGGGATAATTTATATTAGAACATAAAAATTTAATCATCCTATAAAATTTATAAGAACCTATTATATATAGAAAATAATGATTTCGAACATAAATAATAAAATATTATTAGAGAAAATATAATAATGTTAAAAAAATATAATAGCTACATAAATTACAATAAAATATAGAATTAAACATTTATATTATGATTTCGAAAGTTATTTAAAATATGGTTCATAAATAGAAATTTTATCTTCTTTGCGATTGCTCCAATTTTTCATAATTTGTTTGGTAATTAATGTTTAAATCTCTAAATATATTAAGAAGTAAAGCCAGTTCATTCAATCGATTTTCAGATGACGTATTTCTGAGATAGGTTTTTATTCTCCGTTATGAAGGAAGGATCCACTCTTATACATGTTTGCTGCCATGTTATAGAGTAATTTTAATAGATACAGAATAAATTACAAATAATATTTTAAAGTATGCAATGCTTCTATGGCCTTTCTTGGAGAATTATTTAATTAAATTAATTTTTCATACCCAGATATAAATTCTCATATATGGCCTTCGGATAAATTTATATCTTCATAATAAAATTGATCGAAATCTTTAATTGTAATATCAAGATTAAATATATCCTAAGATGGATTTAATTGAACAGAGCTATATAATAAATCACAAATCGTTCATGTGAGTCAAAAATGTATCCAAAAATGGAATAATAACGGTTATTTTATAATAATTCTTGTC